TATATATATATTTTTTTTTTTTTTTATATACTGTCTCCGTCTGTCTGTTCTCGTCGTTGTTATTTGTCTCTTTCTGTTTGCTCCTTTCCTTACCGACTGTCTCCTTCTGTCTCCCCGCTAATATATTGCTGTGGGGTGTTTTCATCATATTACTCTGTTTGTGTATTTGTTTAGTTCTCTGTTTTTTTGTTTTTGTTTTTTTGTCTTTTTCTTTTTTTCTTTTTCCTTTTTTCTTGTCTGTACACCTCAATAACTCGGGGCTGCTCGGAATACACTGGGGTCCCCGTTATATGCCGTTTGGGTGCAACTCGAAGCAGCCAGCTAGCTAGCTAACTAGCTAGCTAGCTAGCTAGCTAGCTAGCTAGCTAGCTAGCTAGCTGGCTAGCTAGCTGGCTAGCTGGCTAGCTAGCTAGCGGCTAGCTAGCTGGTGTCGTACAGCGAACTGTCGGCTCTGCCGCAGACTGGGTGTTGTGTTGGGTGTAGAGTTGGTGATTGAGGGTTTCGAGCCTCAAGGGTTCAGGTGTTCTTCTCTAGGGTTTAGGGTTTAGGGTTTGTGTGTGTGTGTGTTGCTGCTGCTGCAGCTCGTAAGCCACAAGCCCGGTGAGGGCAGCGCCGGCTACGTGGGGGCCCCTCTGGTGGAGCTTCCCCCCAACGCAACAGCAGCACAGAAAGCAGCAGCTTTAAGAATAAGCAGAGAAACAAACGAAGAGATAGACGGTGTATCGACACCTGAACACGGCGGCGAGTCACCGGGCGCCGGCGGCAGAGTCAGTGCCTCCACTATATTCAAATATGTCCTCGCTAGCCTCCTCTTTATAGGCCTCATTGTGGGGGTTGCTGTCACCGTATGCCCCTGCGCCAAAGCATCCAGCTAGCTAGCTAGCTAGCTAGCTAGCTAGCTAGATAGCTAGCTGGGTGGGTTGAGAGATAGACAGCTAGCTAGCTGCTTCAGCAACTAGCTAGCTGTGTGGGGGTATGATACTGTATTAGTATAACTTCTTTAGTCGCACCGCTAGCTGGCACACCCTGTATCGGGGATCTGTTGGCTAGCTGGTTGCAATGCAGCAGCTAGCGAGCCCTAGCTAGCTAGCTAGCTAGCTAGCTAGCTAGCTAGGTAGCTAGCTAGGCATCATATATGTACCCCAGTAGGGGGCTGAAATTGCTTTTAGGGAGACAAAAACACAACACAAGGACGCTCCTCCATCTTTTTACGTTTTA